AAAACATTGGTTATGTTACCAAGGCTTTGACTGGGATGTTCTATTTCACAATATACATAGAATAAACCCATAGCGAATGCAGGGAAAGTCTGAAAATGGCCTTGATTTGGCTTCCTAGTCTCAAAAGGTTTTTGAAAGTTTAATCTGAGAGTTTTATAAAACTTCTAGCAATGCAAAGTTTAAAAAGGGTGTCTATGGTCCATTGCTACACTTGCTGCACTTAGGTAAAAAATCTAGGCAAGTTCGGTGAGACTCAACCTATTTTGCAAACTAATTCATCCTACTGGAATTATCTTTCGTAAAAACAGAGACTCCTATGTAGATAAAAATTATGTTAAAAAGAAAAACTGTAGTACACCTGTTACCAAATTGAACCACTGTTCATTATCTTTGAGTATTTATAATCCACTGGTAGACTGGACTGGACCCTGAATTCTTTTACTTTTTCCAATGCAATTTTCTCCACTGAAATCATTAAGAACAAGAACAGCTCTGTTGCTGAAGCTCTATAAGCTTGGACAGTGGACGCAGGACAGTGGGTGCAGCCCAACAAGTGAGAGCGGAAGCAGGGTGCGGCACCTCCTCACCCAGGAAGTGCAAGGTGGAAGGGAATTCTCTTTCCTAGCCAAGGGAAACCATGAAAAACAACACCTGGAAAACCAGGTGACTCCCAGCCTAGTACGACGCTTTACCAAGGGTCTTAGCAAATGGAACAACAGGAGATCATATACTGGGCCATGCTCAGGGGATCGCTGACCCACAGGGCCTCCCTCATTGCTAGCACAGCAGTCTGAGATCTAACTGCAAGGCAGCAGCGAGGCTGGGGGAGGGGCACCTGCCATTGCTGAGGTTTAATGGGTAAACAAAGTGACCAGGAAACTTGAACTGGGTAGAGCCCACCGCAGCTCAAGGAGGCCTGCCTGCCTCCATAGACTGCACCTCTGGGGACAGGGCATAGCCAAACAAAAGGCAGCAGAAAAATCTGCCGATGCAAATGTCCCTGTCTGACAGCTTTGAAGAGAGTAGTGGTTCTCCCAGCACAGACTTTTGGATCTGAGAACAGACACACTGCCTGCTCAAGTGGGTCCCTGGACCCTGAGTAGCCTAACTGGGAGACATCCCCACTAGGGGCAGACTGATACCCCACACCTCACAGGGCCGGGTACACCTCTGAGATGAAGCTTCCAGAGGAATGATCAGACAGCAACATTGGCTGTTCAGCAATATTCACTCTTCTGCAGCTTCTGTTGCTGATACCCAGGCAAACAGGGTCTGGAGTGGACTTCAAGCAAACTCTAACAGACCTGCAGCTGAGGGTCCTGACCGTTAGAAGGAAAACTAACAAACAGAAAGGACATCCACACCAAAACCCCATCTGTATGTCACCATCAAAGATCAAAGGTAGATAAAACCACAAAGATTGGGAAAAAGCAGGGCAGAAAAGCTGAAAATTCTAAAAATCAGAGTGCCCTCCCCCTCCAAAGGAACGCAACTCCTTGAGAGCAATGGAACAAAGCTGGACAAAGAATAACTTTCACAAGTTGAGAGAAGAAGGCTTCAGACAATCAAATTTCTCAGAGCTAAAGGAGGAAGTACAAACCCAGCGCAAAGAAATTAAAAACCTTGAAAAGAGATTTGACAAATGGCTAACTAGAATAACCAATACAGAAAAGTCCTTAAATACCTGATAGAAATGAAAACCATGAGAGGAGAACTACGTGACAAATTCACAAGCTTCAGTAACCAACTCAATCAACTGGAAGAAAGGGTATCAGTGATTGAAGATCAAATGAATGAAATGAAGCGAGAAGAGAAGTTCAGAGAAAAAAGAGTAAAAGGAAATGAAAAAAGCCTCCTGGAAATTTGGGACTATGTGACAAGTCCAAATCTACATCTGATTAGTGTACCTGAAAGTGACTAGGAGAATGGAACAACTTGGAAAACACTCTGCAGCATATTATCCAGGAGAACTTCCCC